AGCATTTGATTTGTTTGGCTCATGGGCCATCTTGGATGGTTTCATGCTATAAAGGCTTTTGGGTAAATGGTTTTCGATTTCACATGACCTCATACGGAAGAAATAAGAGAACTATGAATAGCGGTGTGTGTATCACAGGAACCACAGGAACAGAATCAGATTTGGATTTTTATGGGTTATTGCAAGAAGTGATTGAGCTTCAATAAGTTGGCTCTAGACATCGACAGACGGTTGTTCTATTTAAATGCGATTGGTATGAAATTCCTCCTGCACGAGGAATTGTGGTTGACAAAAAACATTGTCTTGTTGATATTAATCCAAATAAAAAACTGAGGACTTATGAGCCTTTTATCTTGGCGAGTCAAGCAAAACAGGTGTATTACACTCCATATCCATCACATAATTCTAATAGGAAGGGATGGCTTGCTGCATTGAAATGCAGGGCAAAAAGTATTATTGAGATGCCAGATGAGCAAAAAGACCAACACGATGAGCAAGAACCCATTTTTCAAGATGATGACCCTCTACCTCCCCAACCAAATGAAACCGATTTGATATTCTATCAACCTATTCAACATACTGATGCGACTATAAATGCCATTAATGTTGAATTTGAGGATGTGAATGATGACAGAGAATTTAAGGATGAGTATGAGGAGGAAGAATTTGAAGATTATTCTACATCTGAGGAAGATAATATTGGATACATTTCTGAAAGTGATAGTAGTGATTAATTAATTAGTAACACATAGATGCTTTTTAATTATAGAGTAATGTATGTGTGTGGTATTCTATAATACAATTGGTGATATGTATTGTTTATAGATTTAATTGTTAATTAATTTGGTGATTAATAATTTGTTTAGATATTACTAACTAAATTTCATGTTTGATTTATTTTTGTTTAAAATTTAAATCTAATAATTTTTTTTTCATTCATATACTAATGTAGTATTATTTCTTTTTCTTTTTCTTTTTTTTTTTGTAGTGAATTGCTTACCTGGATCATGTAGGGGTAACAAATCTGATAACGTTGCCACCCAAAAGCCTACCAGAAAAAATCAATCACAAGCAACTAGATCTTCTAGTACTATTGTCCAAGAGAGCCCGATGGAGACACGTGATAATAGCAGTGACACTAATTCAAGTGCACCCTCGCCTCTTCACCCAAAAAAGGGGCGAGGTATTGCTAAATTGCAAAAAATGCCAGAGGATCCATACCAAAAGCTGAGCATAAGGAATTGGAATGGGAAAAAATTACCTAAACAAGTTCGAAAGGATATTTCAATCATTCTTAAGTCCAATATGCGAGATGCATATACAGTGTAATATCCCAAATTTTCGGGAATATTTAAGTGTAAGTTAAGGACTTGATTGTGGAAAAATATTGTTTTGGGCTTAAGAGCCAAAATATCCAAAGTTGAGGGGCTTAAAAGAGGAGAATTTGGATAAGGATGGCTTATTTCTTTTCTCCCTTTTCCTCTTTCTTCTCCAGCTCGTTTCTGCTCTTGTCTTCCCGCTGCAGCCCAAAAAAAAAAGAAGAAAGGGAACCCAGCCATGCCTTGGAAAACCGGTGAGAAAGCTTGGTTTTTGGCCTTCTTTTCTTGCTCTAGAACCTGATTGGAACCCAGAAATGGATCTGCCTTGCTCTGCTTCTTCACCGCCGGCTGCTCTTGCCTTGTGGGGGCGAATTGGCTTGGGTTTTTGGTAAGAAATAGCCACGAATCTCCCTTCTTCAGCTTAAATTGCCTTGGGTTTAAGTTAAATGCTCTTATTTCCTTCAATTTTTGGGTAGAACCCGTGAGCTTCTTCTCCAAATTGCCGCCGGCTTCTCTTCCCCCTGCAGCTCCGGTTTTAGCTGGAAAATTCTGGTATG